ACAACTTAATATTATTTTCTCTTCCCTGTATAAAACCTTTCCTTAAAGATTCTTAACTATGATGAAGCTTTGATAAATACTTAACAATAGTGATGCCTTTTTTCCTACAAAGGAAGAAACTACATTCATTAACTTTGTTTCCCCAGCACTTAGCACAGTACTGAGCACATAGCAGGCTCTAGTAGATATACCTTGAATGAATAAATAAGTGATTCTTGTTCTATGCCAAGGGCTTTGTGAACAAAGGGTTAAGATAATGTATATAAATGTTGTACTTTCCCCTTACTGTAGGACTGGCGGGAGCTGTGGGTGGATGATGCCATTTGGCGGTTGCTGTTCTCCATGATCCTCTTTGTCATCATGGTTCTCTGGCGACCATCTGCAAACAACCAGAGGTTCTTGGACTTTTGTTATTTACTCTGCTAACCATTAAAGGGCATGTCAGCAGTTAGGGATGGTACACTGGGGACAGTGTCAGGGCTGTGTCATATAGTGGAATGAACACTGGGCCTGGAATCAGGAGAAATGGATTCCTATCTTAGCTCTCCTCTTAACTTGCTTTGTGATTTTTGGCATGCTGCCTCTTTTCACTTCTGTGTTCCTAGTTTCCTTTCCAAATAATGAGGAGGAGTTAAATTGAGTGATGTGAAGTCCCTTTCAACTCTGACATTTTCTAATAATATACAGGCATACCTTGGAGATATTGTGGGTTCAGTTCCAGACCATCACGATAAGAGTGAATATTATGGTAAAGTGAGTCACACAAATTTTTGGTTTCCCAGTGCATATAAGTTACGTTTATGCTGTACTATAGTCTGGTAAGTGTGCAGTAGCATTATTTTTTTAAAAATGTACATCATTCCTTAATTAAATACTTCATTGCTACAAAATGCTCACACAGAGACACAAAGTGAGCACATGCTATTGGAAACATGGTACTGATAACACCTGCTTGATGCAGGGTTGCCACAGACCTTCAATTTGTAAAAATTGCAGCATCTTCAAACCTCAGTAAAGTGAAGCATGATAAAATGAAGTATGCCTGTAGATATTTATATAGTAAATAAAGGAGGAGGTAGATATATTGTGTCACTTGTAATGAGAGTCTCCTGTTTAGTGTCCAGAAGGAAAGAAAAATTTTTGTAGTCAGCAGTCGAGCTCACTTTGTAATAATAGAAAGGATAAAATAAAAACTTACGTGACTTTGAGGCCGGGCG